TTCAAGTGCATTTATGCTCACTAGAAAACCTCTCTAAAAGCAACTCTAAAATGGAATATGAAAGATTCAGAACAAATAAAAAGATAACTAATATTTAGGTGAAAAATCAACTAAAATACAGAGCAGTACGGATTTTGATTAGCATATTGCTTACTTTTTAGTCAGTTGTTTAGTCAAGTGATAATTCTAGTGGACTGTTTGTAAACATAGCATCATATTTATTGCATGGATTTTATTTTTTGAAGAGTTTCCCACTTATATGCATTATACTAACGGATGATAATTGTAACCGTAATTATGATGGCCTAGACCATCTTGTGAACATTTTGCTGTTGAGGCAAGTAGCTTTCTAAGTTTAATTTAGTTTAGATTACTTTTATTTTCAAAAAAGCAAACAAAGCAGCTTTTTGACCTTTGGCAGGAGTGCCATAGTGTTAAGTATAGTATGAAAGGCTATAGCAAGTCCCAGAATCAAAGGGAGATTGGCTGGAAAGAACTTCTGGAGTCATCCAGTCCACCCACCCGCTCAAACAGGGCTGTTGCCAGCACCAGGTCAGGTCAGCTTGGCTTTGCCTAGCCAAGTCTGGAAACCTCACCCTTTAGCTCAAGGGTGGCCCTTCACTGTGAGCCCCTCGCAAGCAGCCACAACACTTCCCTTCTCTGGGGAGTCATCTTAAAAGTCCTTCTACCAACTACTGCCACTGGCTGCTCTCCCCACTCCTGACATTCTCCAGCATTACAGTCATCTTCTGGCAATACTCAGGAAAACTCGGGCATACGTTTATCCTAATTAATGTGCCCCTTTCACTTAGTGTTTTTATAACATCAGTTTTGCTTTTTACCCACATCAAGAAGTTCTGCACTATCCTGTGAGTTTTCTCATGGTTCAAAACTAAAGGTTTTTTTAAGGTCCCATATTCTGAAATGCAGAGAAAGAGCAGGATGGTTGTCTGTAAATGAGGTATTTATACTTTTACATGGCAATTCTGATGCCTTGGGCTTTCCTTTCTGTCACCTCTAGCTGACAGAAGTTGATATAAAATTTGAATTTGGCCCAAAATGCCAATGGTATAAGATAGGATTTGGTTAACATTGAGAAATGAGATGGCAGAAAGCTGGCAGGATCCTGGGTAAGCACAAGAAAAGGAACTCTGTCTGACCTTGGTATGTGAAGTTACACTAATATTTTAAAACATTCTCTCTCAAAGTTTAGCTTATCTTTTTGCTTTCCAAATTTATAGTGCCAGTTCTACCCAAAGTGTTGGCCAAACCCGAGAATCTATCTGCGTCTTTCATTGTTCAGGAAGGTAACATCACTGGTCATTTTTCCTGGAAGATATCCAAGGCAGTCCTTCATCAGCCCATGACAGGGTTTCAAGTTACATGGGCAGAAGTAACCACAGAAAGCCGACAGAACAGCTTACCCAACAGCATCATTTCGCAGTCGCAGATACTGCCAGCAGTAAGTTGTCTGTTAATTTACCTTGCTAGGGGCTTTAAAAGCATGTGCATATGTACCTTGTTCTTAATTTTTAGTGGTGATTCAGATGTCATATACAGTGCTCTCTGGATCTGCAGGCAAGTTAAAGCAGGAAGTGCTTTAATTTTTCCTCCTTATCTGAGATATATCTCAAGCACAGCTACTCTTCTGGATGACACATCAAACATTTTAATGTGCACAATTGTCAAATTAGTAACAATATCTGAGAAGTGCCTGAAGGGATGAAAAGATCATCAGATATTTTTTGCTAACTACAGTTCTGTATAAAAGCAGATTCTTTTGGTGATCAGCCTGTTCCACTTGCTGGTTATTATAGTTTTAATAATTGTTTGGAGTCCACATTGAGAGCGTGGTTGCTTTTAAGGGAATTTTCCTTTCCTCTGTATCATTCCTTGCTTTAAAAAGAATAAAACTCCCTTCTCCTCCCTCTGCTAATGTGCATCATTGTCCCACTGGTAAATAATTTGAAAGAGGACTAGATTTCAGTGTTAATCGAAAGTGTAAGAATGAATAATTTTAATTCTTCTATTTTCTTTAAGATGGCTTTTGCTATTTCAATTCTTCCTCTGGCAGAAGCAGGTGAGAAGTGCTTCATTCACTCTGTTAACCAGATCCACCAGAGTCAAACAAAGGGCTTAAGCAGCTGATCCCAAAGTGACTTTGGAAGTTTGGAAGTTTGGAAGTTTCCCAGGTTAACTCCTGGGAAGTGTATCGAGGCAGTTATGTCTTGAGCAGAATTGGCTGCAAATCTTTTCACATTTGGTTCATCAAAGAACGCACAAGATGTTTTCTTATGTTCAAAAAGACTTCTGTGAATGCAAGACAAGGTTCTCAGTTCTGTCTTGATTCATGAAAGCAGACTGCTCTGAAACTGGGGCCTCTGTGTGTCAAGACCTCTTGTGGAGGGGAGAAGCAAAGCTGTGGACTCTTAAAACTATGAAGCCAACTACTGTGCAGTACTTTGTGTTTTGTGCAGCGTGGTATTTAGTTTGGTCCAGAGCATAGTGGTGCTAGGTAGTGTAGACCCAAGGTAGTCCCCACTAGTTAGGTTCTCAGGTAGGACCATAGTGGATACAGCCTTGGTCCCTTCAGCAATCCACATGACAGGATTACCTTAATTTAGTTACTCACAGACCTCTGTGTGTTAACAGCCACTTTAGCAAAATAATAAAGTTACAGACAATTAGATACTACTTTTCACTGCAGTTTTCATCTTTTAGGTGCAGGAATGTGTTTTATTCAGCATTTCTGTTTCTTTTTTTACGCTTTTGGTCCAATTAGTCTGAAATATACATTGCATTTAATTCAGAACACTCCCTTGCATTGTGTTTTGTTTCAAGTTTTTATATCTTTTTTTTTATGTTTTTACTACTGAAAAGCCTGGAAATTTCATTTACACAAATATATGTCTATCTACCTGTTTATTTAAGGCAAGTGGTTAACTTGCATAAAACTGTGGTTTGGTTTGAAACATCTCCTACGTCTCCGAGGAATGTTACTGCTACCAGAATGTAGGATATTTTATGGCGAGGATCACTCACACGTTCTTGTTGGTAGTCTCTGATTGGTAAGGATCTAATATTTACACAAGCAGGGGCTGAAACACAAAGATTCCAACTCCAGGAGCATAAGAGTAGTTATGAGTGTATGAGTGTGATGCACACGTTCCTTACTCTCTCCTACCCGCTAAGTATTTTATATGAAGTGAAACAGCTTCAGCAAAGTGTATTATTAGCACCTCCATCCTAGAATATGCAATTATTTGACAGTAAAAATACACTTTTCCCCTGCTTTTTCTCTCCTTCCCTCCCCCTTGCTTTACCTTTTGCTCTGACAGTCAATCCAAATTTTCAGTTATTCTCACAACTCTACTTATGTCCCCCTGCTGTGTGCTATGTCGTGCCTGCCAGAAGAATTTGCCATGCAAATTCCTGGCCGGCTCAGTCTGCCTGGTGGGAGGAACACGCTGGGTGTTCAGCACTGTTCAGTGTCACTGACCCAGCAGTTGATTTCTGGGACTAGTCTGCTGGGTGCTTGTCAAGTCCTTTTCAGCTTGGAATAAGCTGAATCAAGACTTTGATTCCTCAATGCCCTTCAGTCTTTAGTTGTACATACTCACATTTGGGAGCATTTAAAACCTTACTCTGAAGTTATTCTGTATATGTATTCAGGTATAAGTGACCTCACAGGCTATAAAGCAGTGAAAAGTAAGACCTAGACTGCAACCCAGCATCGTGCCACAACAGAACACAAGGGCAGAACCTCATGGTGTAACTTGGAACAAATCTGCTGAAACCAGTGGAGCCACATTTATTTTCATTAGCTGGAGCAAGGGAGGCCTCTGAATTGCCATGAATTAATTTACCAACCAGTAGAACATACAAACAGATCTAAAATGCAAACAAGTTTATTCAATGAACTTTTGTGTTAAAAAGAATGAATAGGAAATTAAAAATAATATTTATTTCAATGATGAACATACCAATTTTTAAGAACACTACGGAAGAACTTGGATCTCTTAAGCATGAAATCTTAACATAATGATAGAAAGTATAATCTAGGAAAACTACTTAATACATAGGTGAGCACTCAGAACTAGCTGTATTTCAGTTCTTGGACTCCAGCCTTTTATCCATATATTCAAAGCCAACGAACTGAAGATAAACCTGCCCAACCAAATAACACATATGCCAAATCTTTTAAACAGAATTTAAATCAAATACTTTCTGAGTGCTGAGAGTGGCAGTACCTGTTTAACCTGTTAATTGGCTAGAGCGACCAGGTTTTACTTTTAGAGAATTATGTTATGAGAATTAATCTGATTCATTTATTTATTTTCAGGATCATTATGTACTGACTGTGCCCAATCTGCGGCCATCAATGCTATACCGATTAGAAGTTCAAGTGCTGACAACTGGTGGTGAAGGACCAGCTACAATAAAATCATTTCGAACACCTGATCTTCCTCCATTTTTGCCCCACAGTAAGTACTACCCATTTTGGCACAGGCTGGGATATTATAAATCTTCAGTTCTGCCGTGTAAATAGTTTGCTATGCCCTTAGAATCTTCACTGTTTCTAGTAGCATTCCATGCACTTAACATATGGCAACCTATTCTTTTCCATATCTGTCAATGAACAACGCTTGAGGCTCATGGAATTTTTTTGTGGTCTGACATCATTTCTTCAATCACATTAATTTGGTTGATGCCTGTATGCCTTGAGATTCAAAGCTGGTCTGTCGCCAGTACTATCTAGGCTTGGGATTGCTTAGTTTCCAAGATTAGACTTTCTTGGATGCATTCAGTTCAGCATGACTATAGGCCTGGTAATATTTAATCAGAGCAAACTTCTTAATGGCTATTTCTAGCATTATAAAAGTTTCTGAAAAGCTTACTGTTCTGAATAGCTTACTGTTGTGAAGTCCAGCAAAAATAAAACAAATTAGTCCAAAAGTCATATCTACTACAATCTTTGTCCTTTAACCATCGTGCTAAAGGTATCTGGAATAAACATGCACATATTTGTCAGCACAGGTAGATCCCTTACAAGCTGAAGGCCTATAGGAGGCCTTATGATATCTTTTTAGTAAGATCTGAAGTGTAGTGGCATCACACATTCAAGGAATTTGCACGTATATTTTCCTTTTTCTGTTGTTGTTTTTTGTTTAGGACCTCGTCTGAAGCAACATCATCCACATCATTACAAGCCACCCCCAGAGAAATATTAGACTGTTTCAAGTGATTACACAAATGACTGAGAAAAAAACTGAGCTCCCACATGAAAGTTAGAAAAACGAACATCTGTAGGAGCAATGAATCCAATTTTCCAGTGGAAGTTACTATCCTGTAGGATCTTTATCTACTTCTATGTAGTTTAGCCATGAAAAATTGCGTTGGTACCAACACCAGGATGAAACATACAGCAAGTATCATTTCAATGCCACCACTATACAACAAGCTGAAGATTGCATCCAACTCAACACTTGTGAGAAAATCAAGTGTGTTTATTGTAATGCTTTTTTTGTATTCCTGAGTTTAAAGTAGATTGAAAGGGTGCAGTGTATACAGCTTATCTTCCTGACTTTAATGTTAATATTTGAGAGGTTGTTCTGTGATGTATACATACTTTTGAACACTGAAGACCAGAACATCAGTGTGTTTAAACTGATAACTTTTACTTAAAGCTTTTCATTTCCCAAGTTTAAACCTTAGTTTATTTATATAGCTTTTTACCATTAGAGAAAATCTATGTATGCCTGAAATACATAAGTAAAATGAGTGTCAGTAATAAAACCCATAAATTAGTCAGTACTTAATAATTGCAGAATCACCGCAAAGGATACATATGCATTGTCAGTGGTCTCTTCTGAACCTTGGAGATCTTGCATTTAAAAAGTTAATAGTTGAAGTGTGTACATGATAGTTGTACCATTGTAAAGAAACAAATGGTAATTAACATCAATTAACTGATAGATAATGGAAGGATGACTTTTGAAATCCTATTTCTAAATTTTTAATTATTATCTTGAAGAAAACCCCGAAAACCTAAATACTTAAAGTTAGCATTTAAGAAATAGAAATTCGGAGGCCCATGTATTATTCAAGTAGCTATAGAGCTACTTTTTGGCTTCTTTGGCTGTGGATCACATACTTCTTTTCCCCATGGATCTTTTTAACAGAAGGATAGATGTATTGGCTCCATGCTAATCTGCTTACAGAAAGAATTATGTGACAATACTCTGGCATCTGGAAATCATTGGCTTATAGTTTATTTTAATGCATTTTTCAAATTTAGGCAGAAGGGTGCCCTTTTTAACCATAAGGGAATGCAGATTGCCTTATTGTGCAATATAAACTGTCTAGTATAATTAGCCACACAGGGAGATATCCTTTGACAGTAAACAGAAACTTCTTGAATTTATTTTCAAGAAGGTGGAAAATATCTGATAATAAACATTGTCCATAAAAGTACTCATAATCAACTTCTAGTGTTTAAAATGTTCAAAATGCTTCTGCATTCTTTGGCACGGATTCCATTGCTCCCCAAATAATCATGCTACTAATATATCTCAAGTGATCAGTAGTCAAAGAAGACAAAGAAGACAAAGTAGCCACGTTTGTACCTTCTACCATCAGGTGCCACATATCTGCCTGAGATATTCAGTGAGAAGGAATTGGATTTTAATTCAATTATATTTTCTGACTTACAATGGCAAATTTGACTTGAAGAAAAGCAAGTAAGGAGACAAGAAATATGTGCCTGAAACTGAGGATCATAGTTATGATTATCATTGTAGAGTACATGGAAAATATTAAAATGTGGTTTGCCCATATTGAAGAAGTTTATAGGTTTTGCTGCATATGGACTGCTACCACAGAGGTTGCAGAGGACTAAACTAATTTCTGAGCACTTGCTCATTCCAGTTATTTTTTACAGTTCTATCTTCTGCGTTACTCTTTTTTCTTTTTTTTTTTAATTCCCATTCTCTTTCCACTTTGCTTACTGTCCTTTTTCGATATGCACCCAATGACGAGGAACTTTTCCAGACAATTTGTATGACTGCATGGCTTGGCCCTTTAACTGTTATTTCAAAAACATTAGGGGTGATGGAGCTTTTAATTCCTTCTTCTACTACTCTGTTATCCCTCCTTTTCCAAAATAAATTAACAAGTACACAGATGATCTCTTCTTCACAAAATCTCTGTAGTGCAAAAGGATTATTTTCAATTTTGTCAGAAAGGAAAGGTTTCAGATTTTTTTTTTTTCCTGGATGTGAATGTTTCTTGTACACAGCAGGTCTTTACAAAGGAAAAATAGTAATTTGAATCAGACTGGTGTGCAATGCTTCTTAAACATTTAGATTGCACTGGGCATAAATAAGGATAAAAGAAATCTCCTTTTTGCTCACTGAGAGTATGATTCACTGGGATCAGGACAGGAAATTTCCTCAGGCTTCTTTGAAAACTTTTGTCTAAACCTTTCAATCAGAGTCTATTTGAGTTATACTGGAGAAAATCTACAGTGACATGATTAATGTTAATGAAATTACGCTGTATTCAGAGCGACAGTGCTAAGCATAGCATGTGAATGCTGGTCCTTATTACAATGATGCCAAATCCGGTTGGCGAAAAATGGAAAGTTAGCATCCCTGAGTGATCGTACCAGTTTTGATTGCTCAGTGGAAGCCATGTTCTTCTGAAATGGGTCAGAATAATTGCTCTGTTTGCTAATGCTCGTCTCTTGAAACATTCAATTTTAAAAAGTAGTAATATATTTTTGAACAAGATAGAGGTTTTTACTTATTAAAGTAGATTCTGGCCATCAAAATAAATAATTTTTTAAAAAAGCTAATAGAGTGGAATTATATTGAGAAGGTGATTAAGATGTAAATTTATTTTTTTTTCTTCTTTGAATCAGCTTATTAACTCATCTTTCAACGTATAGATTTCAGTGACCCTCCAAAGCATAAATAAATAAATACAAAGGCAAAAATAGAACCATGCCTATAAGCCTATGCATGGATATTCATTTTCTAAATGTGAGTGATTTTGGATCATTCTTTGAATTTAGCAGTGCATATTTAAGCTTTTAGTGCCTAATTCATTAAGCCTTGTTTACTGAATTGCACAGGTTATTGTCCTAATTTTCTAGTCTAAATCCCACTAAGCATTTAATTCAGCGATAGAGTTGTAATTCACTACTTGATTGATAGTTAAAAGATTTATTTTCTCAAATGATGTTGTCTAATACAGATTTAATACAGATATTAGGATATTTTTAGATGCTCTGCACCTTTACACTAGTGTATTGATTTGTCAGGTGACTTCTGGATGAAATGCATTTTGTTTATTTTTATTTCCTAAAGGAGAGTTACAGAATTATGCCATTTTTACTATCTACTTTATGCAACTGAAATTTTTGTTTTCTTCTACAGTGAACATTTGTTAAGAAGGGAATGTTTTCTTCCTGCTACTTCCGTTTTGACGGTTTTCGAGTTGTTCATACAGCAGGGGGAATTAAATAAGATAGAACCTTTGCCATACTACTATGTGTATCATCTCGCTTATTTATCAAAAATATGGCACGTGGGCAATGAACTAATACACATAAGAGGTCTGACTTCTGCGCTGCTGAGCATCCTCAACTTAAATGCCTTTAGAAGGATTTGAAGACGTGCTGTGGCAATGTTGATGTGGATTAAAGTTCGGCAGGGTCATACACAAAGTCAAGGAAATGCTCTTTGCTAACGTGAATGGGACTTTACCATTGATATTAGCAAGAGTGGGTGCAGACCTAAATGGTGAGTAACTTAATCCATAATACTTTCATCTCCATGTTCCCAGATGGATTTGGCAGAGTTTCAGATGAGTAAGCCCTAATTCAGGAAGGTAGGCAGAAAAAAGCTTGTATGTGTACAAAAGTCAGTGGGATGGACATACACCTTAAACAGTTAATACTGAGCTGTAGTGATGTCTTTAATAAAGCACGGATTGCAGAATTTGCTTGAATGCTGTCCTAAATTCAGGGCCTTACAGAACAAAGTATGGGACCCAGGCTATTCTAAATTCTGTGTACAGCAGCATAGAAATTTTTATTTTCGTCTTGTGTATATGTAAATGTAGTTGTGCTATTGACTTATTTATTAATTCATTTTCATATACTATGTGCCAAGTATATTCCTACCCTTTTGATTGGTACCTGTGAACATCAGTTACTAAACATAATGTTATGCAACTTTGTGCATTGTAACCAGGAATATGATGCTAATAATCTGTTGCATGTAGTTTTAAATAATTAAAGAACCCTTTATTTAAAAAATGTAAATGAATACCTGCAGATGTTGATGATTATGTATGGTTTTGCATGCCAAAACTCATTGTTCAGTTGTGGGCATGAAATGTAACGGCTCTTTTACCTCTACTGAATATATTAGTAAGGTACAATTTACAAAGTAATTAAAGAGGTCTGTATGTAAAATTTTTCCTTTTTACTTAATTATATTGTAGTAGAGGTAACAGAAATGCTCATCTGTTATCCAATTTGGCTGTAGAAAGTATGTTCCTGTAACAATCATTTAAAGTCAATATTTATTTATGTATGTAATACAAAAAGATTGATCTTGTATGTGTCTGTTATTTAGAGAAAAAAATACACTTGTAAAAACATTTTGTAAAAAAAATGTAAATGTAAAGAGTCTGATTTCTGTTACTCATTATTTTCATGTTTAGAATTTGTACATACTGCTTAGATAATAAACTATCCTACATTGAAGTCCTGCTACATTATCTCCTGCATACAGAATTTATACTTTTATTTTTCATACTTTGGAGACTTAGCATCATCTAAGCCAAATCAGTGTCATGCCAAGAACCTTGGCTACATCTACATCTCATTGTATATAAATTAGACCATTTATGTTAAATTAAATTTAGATATAATTTTATTTTTTGTGCTGAAAATCAAGTGAAAAATGAGACCCAAACAGTTGCCTTCCCTTCTCTGTGTAATAGAGTAGTTCATAGTAAGTCTTGTTCATCCTTATTAATAATTAATAATTAATAATTAATAATAATAATTAAAATGCTACTACGTTTATGGCAGTGGCCTGATCTTGCAAGTGATGATTGTCATAGTTGGGAGTCATGCTGGCCACCCGTGTAGACACACCATATACAATCCATATAGACACCAGGTTTGGAGGACTTTCTATTTTATGCTCCAGTATCCCAAGATTTATATCACATATTTTTAATAAATACGAATACCTACCTTATTGCAAGCATTCAACTTTTTCTTGTTGTTGTAGATGTGCAGTCATTCTGAGAAGTAAGATTTTTAGTAAATCTCTTAAAAATATTTCAGAAAGGGTGTGCCTTTTACCCTCAACTTGCCTAATAAACATTTAGGTTTTTTTTATGTGAATGACTACATAAACTTCAAAATTTCCCCTTTTCACTTTCTCATATCACTACTTTTATTTTGGGGATAGAGGAATTGTTTTTCCTCCTTCACTATGCTTTTGCAATGTCCCATTATTGTAGGGCGAACCCTTAATTTGCCTGATATGACACCATTGATAGGTAATTTGTTATAGTAAATAAACTAATTGTTCTATACAATGTAATTAAAAATATCCATTCATTTTTTTCCTTCCATAACTTCAAATCAATGTTCTATTC